TATATATATATATATATATATATATGCACACGCCTCTCTCTCTCTCGCTTCCCTTTTATTTCTCATGTGCTGGGTGAAGCTCGTGGAGGGGTTCTACAGATGGGTCAGTTTATGTCGTCGGTGGTGACCGTCGGCAAGGTGATTCTTATCGCCTTGATGGGCATCTACGCTTCGCGAAACTTTGGCAACAAGAAGAAGACGCTCAAGGCGCTGAGTTACATCGCTGTCAAGATATTCTTACCATGTTTGCTGCTTTCGCAGCTCGCAACAGATATATCGTGGGATATGATTCGCACGTATTACTGGGCATGCATCCTGCCCTTCATTCCGATGGTGATTGGCGTTGCCTCTGCCTTCGCCTTCCGCTCGTTCATCCCCGCTGAGTTTCACGGCTTGCTTCAACTTGCCTGCACCTTCCAAAACGTCATAACATATGGTTTGAGCATTACGTCAAATCTTGACATCTCCTGGTGCGACAGCAAGGCAAAGCGAGAGGCCCAATCATACGTGTTCCTTTATAACGTTGTGCATTCTCTCTTCCTCTGGTCCGTTGGCATGATGATCATCGAGAAATGCGCTTTGGCTTTGGAAGAAGAAAATGAGTTGGCGGCTAGAGCTGCTTTTGCCACCACTCACATTCATAGTGTCGAGACCGAGGCGAAAGCATCCGCTCCTCTCGAGGGTGCTGAGAACGCCAGCCCGGCACGCTACCAACCATTGACACGGCTTGAAGACTATCGCCCGCTCCCTGAACTCACCACAAACGCCACGAGGCGGAGGGTGAGGCGGTTGGAAGACACATCGTGGCCAGAGTACATCGTTTTGCATCTCTCCTACCTCTGTACAGAGCAGCTCATTTTCAGTTTCATTGGACTGTTGATCGCGCTGGTGCCGCCCTTTGGCCTACTCGTCCGTAACCCGGTGGGGGAAGCGCTGCTCGGCGGCATCAAGCTCCTTGCAGGAGGCGCCGTTCCACTGAAGCTCCTCGTGTTGGGTATCAACATCCTTGCAGAGAGTGAAGGTTCGGTTGAACTGCCCCTGCGCTTTATAATATGTGTTATTGCTCTCCGTCTCTTTTTTATTCCGCTAGTTTGCTTTGGTGTTGTGCATCTTCTTGTTGTTAATGCTCTCATGCCGTACGATAGGCCATTTATATTAGTTATGTTGGTGCTTACTTCTGCCCCAACAGCGATCAACACATCGATTATTTGCAGCATGTACTCGTATAAGGTGAAGGAATACACCAAGCTTCTCATTTCTATGTATCTTTCATGTATTTTTACAACAACCGCGTGGCTTACTGTGTATGCATGGTACCTCGAGCCAGAGGCAAGGAGTAAGACTTGAAAAGAAACTCGTTTTTTTTTGTTTTGTTTCATCCCTGACGAAGCGGTATAAGGGGAAAAAAAAGGCCGCGAGTATCGTTTCAGATGTGCAGGTGTGCATCTATGGTTTCCCTTTTCCCCCACCTCCCCTTCTCCCGTACCTGCCAAGGAGGCATATAAAATTGTCATTTTGGGTGGGTGGGAGGGCCTCCTCTCTCCCTGTTATGTGATGGCCTGCACGTGTCTTTTATCATGTTGTGTATGTGTATGTGTTCCGCTTAAGAAGTTCTTTTAACAGTCTTACTCTGGCAAGGTGCTGCACACAGGTAACCGCTCGTCTACCTGATCTCTCTATTACAAGACGATGTCTTTCACTCCTTTTCCTTTTCCTTCCTCATCTTCTTTGGTGGTGGCGTGTGTTGAAAGAAAAAAAAAGACGAACAGGCGCACCCTCGCACAAAAGTTAGCTATGTGACGTACCGCAGGGACCTATTCCCTCGTCAGAGAGGTTGTCATGTCGCTCAGCATGTCGAAGATCAAGTTGTACGTCCAAACGCGCCCCCCGCCCACTCCACTGTGAGTTTGACATCCCCGGTCGCTTCAACTACACGGAGCTGGAAGAGGTGTCAGGCGACTGGATTTGCATCAAGGAGGTGGCCGAGCAAATATGTTGTTTTGCGTGGGTGTGGAAAAGGGTGGAGTTAAGTCCACAGAGGAGGAAATGCTCCGTACCATCGGTATTAACACCGTAGGCGACGTGGTTAAAGGATAGTACGGTTGCATTTTGATCTGTGGGCCGACAGGCACATGGAAGATGCTCACGCTGGATTCTCTGACGTTAGGCCTTGAGGGTATACAACCGCAGTGCATTCGCCACGTGCGTGAGAAGATCGCCAAAGAGAGTGGCAAGTGCAAGGTGACGGTGAAGCAGCACTAGGGTCAGTTGTATCGAGACTCCGTGCGGGACTTGCTGGACATCGTGAAGGACAACTTGAGGATCCGTATGGAGGAGGCGACAGTCGCCATCATTGAGGAGGTGGCCATTCGCGAGGTGCACACGGACGAACAGTTCAGTGTGCTCATTCAGGAGGGTGACAGCAACCATGTGGTGGCGAGCACAAACATGAACTTTGCCTCCTCACGCTCACACGTCTAACTTTTCTTGGAGGTGTGGTGCAAGGATAGGACAACTGGGAACGTCACGTTTGGGCGATTGTATCTTAATGAATTGACCGGCTCCGGGTGCACCTCCAAGTCGGGAGTGACGGATGGCACCTTCAAGGAAATTGTGGTGATCAACAAAACACTTACCGCACTCGACAACTGCATTGCTGGGCTGGTGAATGGGGAAAAGGTTGTCTCTTTCCGCGACTCCCCTTTTACGCGCATGCTGCAGTACCCGTTGACGGGGCATGGACGAACCTCTATTATTGTCACTGTTCGGCCAGATAGTCCCAACATGCTAGAAGGTGTCTGTACACTCAAGTCTGGTCTGAGGGCGCAGAAAGTGGAGGCGCAGGTGACGCCCTCTGGGTACGGCAACAAGGTTCTGGATGTTAAGGCCAAATTGCAGCAGGTGCGTCGCAAGAATGTGACACTGGGGCCACCATCTACAGCGTGCTGTCGCTGGGAGGCAGCGATGACGACAGAACTCGATGCAAGGGTGGTGGAGGTAAACTCGCGGAGAAGACATGCTTTGGACCACCTGAAATGCGTCAGTGAGGTGGAGCAGAAGCTTGGCTAGTACAACCCGGCGTTGGACTACTTGCAGGATCGAATTATCAGGCGGGTGGGTGAAAGGACCCGAACCTGAAATGCGAGGGTTATTACAAAACTTCGTTGAGTGCAGCTGCAACACACCCAACAAGAACGCTGAGTTCGTGTATATTGGAGGGTGTGACGAGGCTGCAAAGTGGTGGAAACGCGCTGAGGAAGAGGAGTCTGCACCAGCAGCAGGCCAGGATGATGACGACGACGACGAGTGAGTGCTGCTCGCTGGCGTCCCTGTGCTTTTTTTTTTTTTTGAAGGTCGCAGTATCTGCTTCATGATGAAGTCCAAGGGTCATGGTGGCAAAGAAGTTGCCACATTTTGCGATGTGCGAGGCGTGGGCAGTGACAATGTGCTGTCTCACGTTGCCACACCCGCACGAGTCTGAGCCAAAAGACGTGCGCAGTGTGGAGTTCCGAAGCCGGCGAACTCCGGAGGAGCTGCAGCTTTGCTAAGCACGGCACGTGCCACTGGTCGCGTTGCTACGAGTGAAAAAGGAGCTTCTTGACAGCCCCAACAAGGCGCGGCGACTCTACCGAAGACTCTTTGAGCTTCACAACAGTGCACAGCTCCATCTGCTTTACGTGCAACACTATTTTTTCTACTTCGTTACGTGCGGGTATATATATATATTTATATACATATAATAAGTGTGGTCATTTGGAATCCCCTCTTCATATGGGTCCACCAACTTCTTTTCGTTTCGTACAGCAATGGTGTCCCTTGTTCAGCCCTCGACCACCGGAACGATATTCCCGCACCCGTTACTGTTTTCATTCTCACATGTTGTTATGGTATCCCATGGTGATTCCACTATGACGGCAAAGGCTTCACTACTTTTTGTGTTTGTGTCAGGTGAGTTCCTGTATTGTTCTTTCTCTTCTCTCTCTCTCTCTCCCTCTTCCCCCACAATTATCCCCCACACCCAATATGGACTCTGCTCACTCCAACAGGGTACCACGCACAATACACCTGAAAGCAAAATAAACAAAAAAATGACATCGGAGTCGAAACAGCGCGTCGCCATCATCACCGGCATTACCGGCCAGGACGGCTCGTACCTCGCCGAGTTGCTTCTCGAAAAGGGCTACAAGGTGCACGGGGTCATCCGTCGCTCGTCGTCTTTCAACACGAAGCGCATCGACCACATATACCGCAACAAGAACCTTACGCTGCACTACGGTGACATGACGGACGGCACCGTCCTGCACCATCTGATCGCACAGCTGAAGCCCGATGAGGTGTACAACCTCGCCGCACAGTCGCACGTGAAGGTCTCTTTTGACACGCCCGAGTACACTGGGCAGACGGATGCCATGGGGACGCTGAAGATCCTCGACGCGATCCGCGCCAACGGCTTGGAGAAGACGTGCCGCTTCTACCAGGCAAGCACAAGTGAGCTGTACGGCAAGGTGCAGGAGGTGCCGCAGTCGGAGAAGACGCCCTTCTATCCGCGCAGTCCATATGCTGTGGCGAAGCTCTATGCCTTCTGGATGACGGTGAACTACCGTGAGTCATATGATATGTTTGCGTGCAACGGTATCCTGTTTAATCACGAATCACCCCGCCGTGGTGCGACGTTCGTGACAAAGAAGATTGTGCGCGCCGCGGTGCGCATAAAGAAGGGCTTGCAGAAGGATCTCCTCCTCGGCAACGTGAATGCCCTGCGCGACTGGGGCCACGCGAAGGACTACGTGTACGGCATGTGGCTGATGCTGCAGGCGGAGAAGCCGGATGACTGGGTGCTGGCGACGGGCGAGCAGCACAGCGTTAAGGAGTTCTGCAACTTGACCTTCAAGAAGCTCGGCTATGAGCTGGAGTGGACCGGCAGCGGCCTCGACGAGGTGGCGTACAACAAGGCAGACCCACAGAAGGTGCCGCTGATCCGCGTCGACCCGCGCTACTTCCGCCCTGCTGAGGTGGAGACGCTCCTTGGCAACCCCGCCAAGGCGGAGAAGGACCTCGGCTGGAAGGCCTCGTGCAGCTTTGAGGAGCTTGTCAACGACATGGTGCAGCAGGAGGTCCAAGAGCTAGAAACTGGCGAGGACTCGTGGCGTTGAGAAGCCTTTCTCCCCTAGTTGGAGGAGCATCAGGGTGTAGGTGACGGCGCTTCGTGACGCAAATGGGTGGGCGGTGCTTGTTGAAGGTAAAATGAGAATTGTATTTGTGTGCATGCCGAGGATTTTGTGCACTCACGCCGGTAAACAGTGAGCTCACCCATGTATTGCCTCTGCTGCATCTCTGAGGAAGTGTGCGGATGGTTGTGTGGTGTTTACTACTAACATCACATTGAGGAAAACTGTGGGGTCAAAGAGGGGAAAGAATTGAATTGAAGCGAATCCAATTAAAACAGGAAGAGGCAGAAAAAATATTACGACGGAGTGTGAAACATGATAAAGGCCATGATGTGAGAGGACTAAGGTTCCTTGTGGTATGAGGAGGTCCGTGGTTACCATGTGCTTCGTTTGCCTGCTTTTCCTTATGTGGGGTTCGGGTACATTGCTATATGTGCAGAGTGTGAACCTCTCCTGCAGCCAGGCCTCATCCCTCAGTGTTTTGGGGGGGAGATAACTAATAAAAGCACGGCCTTGCACGTGCCCCCTTTGTTTTCTTCCAGTTACGGTGGTCTTTTTATCTGTGTGCTTACGTTCTTGGTGGCTTGTTTTAGGGTTTCGTATTGATGATTTTTTGCTTCCTTTTTTCTTTATTTTTTCTTTCCTTTCTTGCGCTTTCGTGTATGTGTAAATGAAGTGGAATGGCGTGTGTAGTTGAGTTGATGGCTGGCGATCGGGGGGCCGCATCCGTTTGTCCTCCCGCACCCGCCGTGGACCGCTCTCCTCCACTCTGCGCGGCATATATGAAAGGGGGTTTGGTTTAGTGGTTGGGTCTTTTGGCTCTTGATGAAGGATTCATTCATTCATTCATGTAATCAGCACTGTTGCATTTGATTATTTGTGCCTGGTGGTGTTCGGCAACGTGTAGTGTTGTATCGTTGTGTACTGTTTGTCTCCTCCTACACCGCCGTGCACGCGGCGAGAGGGCTGGTATTGATATATATGCAACACCAGAGTGTTTACCATGCGTTGGTGGCGGAGTTGGATGTGTGTTCCTTTGTTGTGTCTTGGGTTGTGTGTGCAGTTTCTCCATTCTCTCGGTTTCATTCTGTTGTATGAATGTGTTCGGCACACCAACCGTGTCGAGTGCTGTGTGCGAAACCAAAAAGCCTGTTGGGGAAAAAGAAAAACTGTGATTCTTCTCGGAAGCCGAGCCTAGAAGGGAGATACTTGAGCTCCCACCCACATATATACACAGAGAAGAAAAGAAGCACGTACAAGGAGGGGCCGTTATGAGTGACGTGGCAAAGTGGGAGAAGCAGCTGGAACGACTGCTAGCCGAGGGCGGTGAGTCGGCCAAGGTGATCGCCGCGATCGACAAGATCCTCTCCGCGTCACCGAAGCACGTCTACGCGCTGCGCTGCAAGGTTGTCTGCCTGCTTCACCAGGACCGGCACGCGGCCGCTCTGGCGGTGCTTAAGCAGCTCGCCGCCGCTGAGCCGTCACTGCGGGACGCCTCGCAGGACTTCGCCTTCCAGCGGGCGTACTGCATGTACCGGGCGCTCGACCACCACGCCGCGCAGGACGTGCTGCGCCGTGCCCCGCACACCGTCGAGCACGTGCCGTCGCAGCACCTGCTGGCGCAGCTGCACTACCACCTGGAGGAGTACGAAGCTGCTGCGGGCATCTACGAGGCGCTTCTGGCGAAGGAGGCCTTCCGCGACGAGCATGAGAAGACAGAGCTGCAGACGAACTACGCGGCAACATGCGCCGCTATCGACGCACGCAAAACACAAGCAATAGTGCACGCGGCAGATGAGAAAACAGCTGATCTGTTGTACAATGCGGCGACGGCGCTGCTTGAGATGCAGGATTATTCCGCTGCGCTGCAAACACTGCAGCAAGCGGAGGCATTATGTGCACGGGCTCACCCGAAGAGCTCTCTGCGGTCATTCCAAGACGCATGTGCGAAAGGTGATGTGGAGCTGCATGCGCTGCTTGATAACAGAAACTCACCCGAGCGGGCCTTCTTCAATGAAGTTGCTGTCATCTGGGTACAAATGGCATTTGTGCAATACACTATCCACCATGAGGAGAAGGCGACTTCCCTGCTCGACGTGGTGCTTCGGCATCGTCCATCTTCGTCCGTAACTCTTGCTGTGGCGTCGATCAACTGGGCTGCCATTCAGCGCCACAGAGACTTCTTTGATACACACCGCAAACTCAAGTCGGCGCAGAATCCTGCAGTTAGCAGCAGGCTGACATCGAGACAGCGCCTGCTCGTGCGATACAACACAGCGATGCTGCTATTACATACAAAGAATTTCAATGGTTTTAAGAGGCAAGTGGAGCTCATCGCGAACGAGTATCCTGATTCAGATCTCACACACTCCCTCAAGCTCGCGCTTGCCGTCCGCGAGAGTAAAAAGAAGCGGCAGTCTGATGACAGGACTGTCACGGAGTACCTTAAGCACTACCAGCAAAGCGTAAGGGAACAGCAGCAGAGCAACCCTGGGGCGAGGAAATTGTTACCCCTTATCGCCGCACAGATTTTTCTGGAGAACAGTGATCTCGAGCACGCCATCGAATCGCTCTCTTCTGCGGCGGAGGATTTGCGGCAGAAGCCGTGCGCCTTGGTGACTCTGGTGACGTGGAAAGTGCAGGTTGGCGACGTGAATGGGGCGAAGAAGCTTCTCACTGAATACGCCGCTGCCGCCGCCGCCACAACAAAGGGGGTCCCAACCACCAAGGCCATTTTGCTGTGGGTGGTGCAGTTCTTCGCTTCACGCGGCCTCAACGCTGACGCGGTAGACGTCATCCGCGCTGTTCAGCGTGTGTTTCCCACGTTGGAGAGTGACACGGCGACACGTGCACTGCTGGCGCTGTGTCTGTCACACTACGATATGCAGGCGGCGCGCGCGTGCATCGAGACAATTCCCGAGGCTGGTGTCGGCAGTGATCTTGCTGCGAAGACACTCACGTCCTCGGCGGTCACCGAGGCGGAGACGCAGCTGCCGTCGCGGCAGCTTCTCGAGAGCCTCGGCTACCACCGCATTGTGGGCGACAATGACGGCGTGAGGACGAAGCCGGCGCGCCGTCGTGCGATGCGGCGGCCACCAAAGAACACCGAGGCACGCATCGACCCTGAGCGTTGGATCCCCATTTCGCACCGCTCATACATCAAGGACCTTCCGGAACGCAGAAAGCGGGAGCTGAGGCGCCTGCGCGCGAGTGAACAAGAACAGAAACGCCACGAAGCAGAGAAGCGTAAAGCGATGGCACAGTGAAGCTGAGAAGACCCGTTTTACGTCTTAAGCGTGGTGCTGATGGTAGTGGTGGTGAAGAAGGGAGGTTTAAAGGGGCGCTGTCAGCTGAGCATTGGAAAGAAGGACTTTCGTTTTGTGCTGCTGGTCTTTTTTTTTTTCTTTCTCTGAGCAGACGAGGAGCTCATGTTTGGGCGCATGCAAGGAACCGATGCGAATAGAAGCAAGAAATGATATGAGTAACTGCTTTTTTTTTCTTGCTCCTTTGCGCGGCAACAATAAAACAAAACAAGGACCCAACAAGTGACATTCACAAGGTATGCTGGCTTCTGGTCAATGTGAGATGGCCGTGGCTTTTTTTGTTTATCGTTTCCATCTTATTATTTCCCCTTTCTGTCTTCTCTACTTCATTTTTCGTCATCATGATTCTAAATGTCGTTGTGTTTAGTTTTTATTAAGCAGTCTCCGCTTCTGTGACTTCATTCGGAGGTGCGAAGCTTTTGGACGAAACGGCCTTCACTGACTAGAATACGCGTATACGCACACACTCAAGGAGGAAAGGGCAGAGAAATTTGATTGGCAGACGGAAGTATGGGGAAGCCAAAGTACCTAAAGAAGAAACAAGAGGCGGCCGCCGCGTCCGACCAGAACCAAAAACAACCGCAGCAGCAGACGGAGTCGAAGTCCGCTATTCCTGATGAGGAGCCGAAGAGCTCGGGTGCGATGGTAGCCTTTGCCAATCCTGTTTTTCGTGACGGTGTGAGTGACATTCTCGTCGAGAAGATCGACATTAGTTACCAAGGCGTGCCAATCCTCGAGAACGCCACGCTGAACCTCGTAGCGGGGCACCGCTATGGTCTTGTTGGTCCCAATGGCTGCGGAAAGTCGACTCTGCTGAAGGTGCTCGGCTTCTATGAGATACCGTTCCCGAAGCACGTTGATCGCTACTTTGTTTCACAGGAGGTGGAAGCGTCCGACATGACAGCACTCAACGCCGTTGTCTCCGTTGACAAGGAGAAGGAGAATCTGGAAAGGGAGCTGGAGGAGCTTGCGCTTGCAGACCAGGAGGACGCCACAGTGGTGATGCGCACGGACGAGATTTACAAGCGGCTCGATGAGCTTGACGCCAATACGGCAGAAGCGCGTGCTGGAAAAATTCTGTTCGGTTTGGGATTCACACCAGAAATGCAGCAGCGGCCAACCAGTTCCTTCTCTGGTGGCTGGCGTATGCGTATTTCGTTGGCACAGGCGCTGTTCATCAATCCCACCGTCCTGTTGCTCGACGAACCTACAAACCATCTCGATATTGAGGCTGTCGTGTGGCTGGAGAACTACCTTTCCAAGTTTAAAAAGATTCTCTTTATGGTTTCACACTCGCAGGACTTTATGAACAATGTGTGCACCAAGGTGGCCCACATGGGTCAGGGTAAGCTCCTATACTACGATGGAAACTACGATCAGTACTGCATTACTCGTGCGGAGAAGGAGAGTAACCAAATGCGGCGCTTCCAGTGGGAACAGAATCAGATCAAAAATATGAAGGAGTACATTGCCCGCTTCGGTCACGGTAGTGCGAAACTCGCCCGACAGGCGCAGTCGAAGGAGAAAACACTTGCCCGCATGGTGCAGGGTGGTCTCACAGATGCAGTTGCGAAGGACCGACAGGTGAACTTTGGATTTCCGTGTGCCGGTCAGCTGCCGCCACCGATGTTGCAGTTCCGAGAGGTTTCCTTCGCATACCCCAACCGTGACCCGCTCTTTGAAGATCTCGAGCTTGGCATTGACATGGAATCCCGTATATGTCTCGTGGGGCCAAACGGTGCCGGCAAGACGACCTTGACAAAACTCATGTGTCGCGAGTTGGAGCCTACGCGCGGCTACGTGGCGAAGAATGCGCACTGCATTATTGCACGTTTCCATCAGCACTTTGTGGATCAGATCGACATGTCGCTAACACCGCTTGAGTGGATGGGGCAGGAGTATCGGAGTGTTACTGACACGACCATACTGCGCAGCGCGCTCGGCCGCTTTGGCGTCTCTGGGAAGCTGCAGATGACGCCGATGAATACCCTCTCTGATGGGCAGAAATCGCGTGTTGTGTTTGCGTGGATGGCCTTCAAGACGCCACACTTGATGATTCTCGATGAGCCGACAAATCACTTGGACATCGAATCCATTGACGCCTTAGCCGATGCGGTGAACGCCTTTGAGGGAGCGGTCGTCGTTGTGTCGCACGATCTCCGTCTTATTGCGCAGATTGCGGACGAAATTTGGATTGTGGATAAAGGACATTGCCAAAAGTTCAATGGCGACATCGCCGACTACAAGGAGCACGTCCAGCTCGAGGTGAATCGCATGACAGAGGACTACGCTAAACGGAAGTAGACGAAGTGAGTGAGTATGCAGGTGCGTCTGTCAGGGTGAACAGGAGGAAAAAAATGAAAGAATGATGAGAATGACCCAAGTATTTGAGAGGGAAAGAAAGAGGCACATTGTAAGGGTGTTTGTTCCTTTTTTCATCTCTGTATTTGGATATATATATATATATATATACTAAGCTTAATAGCAGAATAACGCCATCATCATTGCATTGATGTTGCTAACAATGAGGGTCTTTGAAAAGGTCGTCACGCACAACATGCATAATTCATACCCGAGGGAGGACTTTTCCTCCTTTGCTCTTTGGCTTTTTTGTCGGTGGAAGCTCTGTGTGTGTGTGTGTACACGTCACTTAATTCTCCGGCATTTCATTTGCCTTTTCGTGTTTATTTCCCCCTTGTCTGCATGGGTGCCGAGAAATTTGGTGATGTGTAGCTTGAAGGTGAAATAAGAAGCTAATGGCAGTTATGCAGGCATTGCATCTCATCACCCTTTCTTTTCGCAATGCACGGCTCAACCTGCTTACTGAAAGCATGAAGGTGGTGGAAGACACCCTTTGAGACTGAACAAAATCTCGATGGAAAAACAGGTGCACACTTTCACCTTCAGGCCCAACGCAATCGGTGTTCACTCTCTGTGAGGGGTAGTGCACCATTTCCCACGTGAATTGGCGTGCATTGGACTGTTGTAAACAGGTGTGTCAGCATATGCGGCTAGAGGCAGTCGTAGCGCCTTCCTTGGGGTATCTGTGGGTTACGCAGTGCGGTGGCACTCCATCCTCATAAGCATGTCTCAGAAGGGGCCGTGTGTGACCGAGGGTGTTCAATCCACGCAGAAGTGAAGCATAGTCGTATCCAGGCAGGCGCTGGAAAATCTGGCTTAATGTTGGTGTGGTAAACCTTTCTCTCTCTCTCTGTGTGTGTGTGTAGGCGTGACTTGGTTGAAGTTACATGGGCCGTGTTGATATTGCTGTTGGGGTCTTCCTTGGGTCTGACAGAAGGCGGTTTTCGTGCTTCTGCTGAGGTGTTGAAGTGATGAGTCAACCCGACTTTTGAATGCGGCACTGTGAATAGGAGCGGATTGCTCTTCACAACTCGGGTCTCTCGTTGAGGGCGCTGCTGTTTCAGTGCGTGCCGACGCTCTCGCGTCGCACGTGAGGCCTCCTCTCTCTTTCTCTCTCCACGGTGTTGGAGAACATTCGGCATCCTATTATCTTCCTGTTTCTGCTGTGCACCCATAGCGGCGGTGGGATTTTCAAAGAATGACTGCAGCTGAGAACGACTTGTGTCCTTTTTTAAATTATTTTGTTTTGTTTCTCGCTCCTTCAGTAGTGGAAGGGAGGGACTGCCACTTTTGCCGCGCGCATTTGCTCGTGGTGTTGACGTGCGGCAAGTCCAACCAAGAGTAAAGGAAGCAAGGAGAGAGAGAGAGAGAGAGAGAGAGACTGTGTGTGTGTGTGTGTAAGGAACACAGAGAGAGAGCCACACACACCCAAGAGAACAAAACCACAGTGTCGATTATGCCTTCTGTGCGATTCAGTGCTGCGGTGGAGAAGGCGCTGGCAGAGGTGTACCCTCCTCGTGACCCGTTCGACGATCCCAATTTTGATCCTGTTGAGTACCTTAACAGCAGATTCCCTGACGAGGCGAGTCTTGCTGCGCTGCCTGCCTTCCTTGATGAGACGACGAATCGGCTAAAGCAAACGGAGAACGATCTGCTGAGGGCGGTGGAGGCGCAGGCAACCAACGCAGCAAATGCGGACAAGGACCTCCGCAACGCCAAGACTGCCGTCGTCGCGTTGTATGATCGCGTCTCGGACATCAAGGCAAAGGCGGCGAAGAGTGAGGATACCGTGCGTGAACTGTGTCAGCACATTCGTGAGCTTGATACGGCGAAGACGAACCTAACAACAAGTATTAACACACTACGCTCAATGCAGCTATGGATGCTGCAGCTTCAAGTCCTATCCACTTCTTTCGAACGCCGAAAATTTATCCAATGTCGTGATGCCCTGGTGGAAGCACAGAAATACGCTGCCATGTTTGAGCCCATGAAGAATCTCCCTAAAGTGAGGGATATTAATGATAAACAGGCCCAGTTGTGTCGGCAGTTGGAACACTACATCCGCCACACGATATTTGGTGACATATCCCTTGACGCCATCGATGAGACGCTGATGGCAGAAGCCTGTGCCGTCGTGGATCTCCTCAGCAAGGACGCCATCCGTAAGATTCGTGATCAATTTATTGATAAGTTGCTAGAAGTGTACTCTCTGCGCTTTAAGCGTGGGTCGGAAGATGCAAAACTGGAGCGTACCGAGCGGCGGTATGTGTATATACGCAATCTTCTTGAGCAGAAGGAAGGCCTTTTTATAAATGTATTTCCGCGTCACTGGTGTGTGCCGCAGGAGCTCTGTGTGACGTTTTGCCTCCGCACCAAGGCGGAGCTGGACTATCTCCTCCGTGAGGCGGCTGGCGATATCGACGTGGTGGTGTTGACATATGTGCTACAGAAGACCATTGACATTGAGCGTGACCTCACACACATGATGGCATGGAAAGAGGAATTTCCAGGACGCAGCGAAGTGCCTGACTATAGGTATAATGGCATGATTCTCTCGTCTTTTAAGGCGCACATGGATCTGTTTGTGCATAACGAAGACAAGTTGATGGGCGATGCGCTCTCGCAGCCCCTAGTGGAAGCGGCACGCAGTGGCGAAGGAAGTAGCAATAGCGGTGGGGTGCCCGGGTGGAATAACGATGCGGATATTCGCGTTGGTGCGACACTCCCGGTGGCAGAGGACCTCTTCATTTTTATTAAAGAGAGCCTCAAGCGCACCATTCGCATCTCCCAGCAGGATGTGCTGCTGGAGATGGCTGCAGTATGGCGCAAGCATCTTATCCGTTTTGCGGAGTCCATGCGGGCGCTGCTGCCCACTCCCGCTGCCACGAAGGAGGATATGCGTCGGGCGTGCATTGTAGTCAACACCGCGGATTTGTGCCAGTCAACAAGCCAGGACCTTGGTGAAGAGGTGTGCACACGTGGTGAAGCCCCCTCAAAAGAGGTTGGTTTCAACGAAGTCACAGACGCCTTCACGGCTCTCTACAGTAAAGCCATTCAGTGTGTCGTGCAGGGGACGGAGGCGAACCTGGCGCCATTCTTAGTGGAGTACGGAAACGGTGCTTTTGTGAATCGCCGTGGCGAGGAGCAGGACATTCATGACGAGTCCACCCTCATTCGCTCTATGAGCGCTGTGCTGCACGACATGGTGGTGGTCTGTGCGGCGGTGCTTCCCTCCTCCATTCTGCGTTTTCTTCTGGACAAGGTGGCCGCTAACGTGATTCCCCTTTTTACGGATTCTCTTTACCACATGCGCCGTCTGCCACCCGACTTTGCGTTGGGGCTTATGCGTGTAGATTCCGCCGCGCTGGAGCGTACCTTCCTGCAGCTTCCGAACTTCAACGACCCAAACCGCTTTGCTCCATCATTATTGACAGGGTATATGAAGCTTGTTCGACGTGAATTTGACCGTCTCAACCGCACCCTGAAGGTGCTGCAGGTGGATGCGTCAGTAGATACCCTTCTCGATGTATACTACGAGGTGATGCTGCCTGATGACCGCTCCATTCAGAATTTTGTGCGGCTTGTCGAGCTTAAGGGAAGGCGGCGGGAGGATGTGCGTATGGCGATTGCAAGCCTCTCTAAGCGAGGCGTGGTTGAGGCAACGAAGCGTGACCTGCAGCGGGAGGCCTCTCTTGGTATTGCCACAGGTACCACCGCGCAGTCATCCGCAGTAGCAGGTGGGACAAGTGGTGGTATCAACTTCGCCAACTTCTTTTCGCCCACTACAACTCAGTCTGAACGACAGACCAGTAGTGGTCTCTCGAGTGCTTTCAACAATCTAGTGGGTCTTGGTGGAAGTAGCGGCAATGTGCAGACGCTAGCATCACCGACGGCCACCAAGACGACGATGACGACAGCGGCAGGAACGTCCAGTACTGCGAAGAAACCAACCGTAGAGGAGGAGAGCCTTGGCTCACGGTTCGCCAAGGTGGCACGCAGCACTGCAACAACTATGAACTTCCTCAGCAACTTCAAGAAGGACGGTGGCGGCGACGGAAAGGGAACTTGAATCCAATAATTGTGTCATAAGAAGGAAGGAGTTTGGGGACATCCTGTGCCTCTGTGTGTGTGCCTGTGTGAGGAACGACCTCTGTTCTATCTGAATAGATGGGAGGGATGGTTTCCCGTAGTGGTGGTTGTGGCCTGATGTGTGCGCTTCCTAGTCGTAGGAGAGGGTGAGAGAGAGGGCAAAGGTATGGAGGCTGTGTCTTGTCTCGGGCCTTACCACAGTTTTGATCATCGTCTCTTTATTGTCATAATCGGGACACACTACTCTCTTGCTTAACGCGTTCTTTTTTCTTCTTTTTTTTTGTTGTTTCTGCCTTCTCCAACATTCTTTATGTTGGTGTGTATAACAAACACGCACGAATAAATAAATAAGAAATACTGCGGGGACGAGTTCTCCCTCGTCGATGACAAGTAGCCTTCTGCTTTGATGCTGACTGCACTGCACATAACGTTGCCCAAGGCGGGCACACATCGCAACGGTTACCAGCAGCATGATCAGAAGCACCTTCCGAACCGATGCCTCTTAGTGAAGGAAGCTACGTGTGAGGCGACCCTAATCTCTACAGAGGCCTCACGCAAGTATGCAGATGACGCTGCATGTGAGTTACACAACGCAGGCACTCGCTTTCGCTTTGATCACGTCACTATTAGTCCTCATCACGGTAGTATCTTCGTAGCCCAAGTAGCCCCTCTGCTGTATGATTTGTGCCGTAATTTTTTTCTCACATCGCATCTCAGCGGCCCAGTCTCGGAAGGGAAATCGATGACGGGTATCGATACCAGCAGGTCTGGTAGCACGCAACAAAGATGGGATAGTGTGTCTATGGGATCATACAAAGAGTTTCCGGGGAAACTACGCTCGCTGAGTCGCACAATCTTCATTTGCGGCAGTCAATCCGCTACAGATCGCCGCGCATTGTTTCTGCATTTGGCCAAAGCAACCGCCCAAGCACTGCTGCAGCAAACTGACGCCTCAAGTTCCCCGTCGCAAGAAAGGGGCTCGTGTGATGTTTCATTCTCCCTGGTAGACTTGTACCATGCGTGGGGAGTGGGAGATGTATTGGACCCCAACGCCGTATTGCATCATAGCGACCAGCTGGATCGCCTCAGGCGAGAGAAGCCGCGGCGCTTAGTCAACGAGCCCAAAGGTATCGCTTTTGTGGAACCGACACGACAGACACTTAAAGGTCGGGATAATGCCTCACTAAGTATTCTTCGAGCCATGCAACGTACTGACGCACCACGTGCGTTGCGCACGGATGCTGAAAAGGCGGACCACGCCATCAAGTCGACATTGGTGCTCACTTTTACCATTTCACGGACTTCAGGGGGTGGGGTGGCGGTAAGGCATGGCTCTGTGCGGAAGCCCGGCGCTGAACAACAGCAGCAAGGAACCCGTTTGTTTGAGGCGAAACTTCACCTTACACTTCTTCCCGACAGCACCGCTGCAGCGCATGGGCAGCAGGTTGCGAGGGAACTGGGGGCTCTGGCGAGCGCATTGCAGGCCTGCGCCCAGTGGCAAGACGAAGGGAGTGCGATGACGGCAGTGAAGCATAGGGATCCACTCTCAGCACCAGTCTCACCATCGACGAATGTGTCTTGGGCGCCGCTGCGGGAGTCACCGCTTCTTCTTTACCTGTTCGAGTCTACCATGTACTACGCCCGTCAGACGGAACGAAGCCTGCGCCAACTGCGTCTGGCGGACGAACGGCGCCGATTAAATGACAGCGAGTCGAGGTCGGTGAGTGTTAACACCTCTACACAGTCTCGCAGTACGGCAAAAAGTCCGTCTACTGGTACAGCTCTCTCAGCTGAGCATGGGTGGTGGTTGGGGGCAGATGCCAGTTGCAGTCACGTTATCGCCTGCATCGCTGCGGGCATTGGCAAATGTCTTCTTGTTGTGTGCGTCAACTCTGGGTGGGATCAATATTTCCAGGCGCGCAGCGTGTTTCTGTTTGCACAACGGGCGACAAATCAGTTAGGGTCACTCCGCACATTGCCGGAGTCTACGAGTGAAGAAGGGACACCGGGTTCGGTAGCAAAGCCGCGATCTACAACAAAGATTTGTTCACCGTACGCACGACATCACCAAGAGCAACAGCAACACCAACAAGAGGAGATGTTTCTCACACTTCAACAAACCTTGGAGGAAGTAGAAAACCCGTTGTGGTCGACGCCTCAACGAAGAGAAAACACGGAGCCTAGACACGTGCGGGAGGAAGAGTCCCCAATCAGTGCCAGGGCCCCCTCAGATGTGCCTATACAAGAGGAAGATGGTGAGGATGGGAGTGAGGACGGTCGTGGTTGCAATAACAACAATAAAAGTTACAACTGTGTTGTTCTTGAGAACTGCTCTCCGACGTTGCTACCGATCAGAAGAGAGACAAATGCTGTTCGACAGCGAGGGGCAACGCAGGCAGCTTCGGCCTCACGAGGGAGTGGTCTGCATGTCTCATCATCACAGAAAAACGTGTGTCAATATTCAGTGCAGAAGCTCTCTCCGTGCGGCGCGGCGCAGGGAAGTGGAGCAGCAGCTGTTGTTGGCGCCTTGGCGTCTATGCATCCATACGCTCCACAGGAAGATGCGGTGGAGCACGACACTAGCACGGCGTATCTGCACACTGGAGCTGCCGCTACTACTCCTACATTGCAACAAGGCCAGCGACCACGCAACGTCGAGGTTGTACACGCCAGTCAGGCCCTTCCGCTCGAAGGTTTGTGTAGTGGCTCGTCGCATCTGCCCAATGAAACGCAGTCGGGTCTGTCTCAGGGGTCTCCTAAGAATCTAATGAATGTGACACCGCTACAGCAGCAATTGCAACTCCACCAGCAGCGGGAGGTCTTCCTGCTCGGGGAAAATGAGCGGCTTCGCGCCCTTGTTGCCAAACTTGCGTCCCAGCAGGCTGCTGCCGTGCCTGAAGAACAGCGGGCTACTGGAATAGCGGATGTCCGTGATACCGTGCCCGTACAGTTGCGGGCGGTCGTGCGTTCGGTTGAACTTCAAGGGCTGCAGGAGGAGTTGGTTGCTACCACCAAAAGAGCACGAGTGCTGAGGAGGACGCTCTCGCGTTCCATGGAAGAAAACCGCAAGATGCGTCGTGTAATTCATTCTCAATTGCGACAATGTCTTTTTGAACTCCCGCGCGTCGTTCGCGAGGCGGTGGCAGAGCGAGGCGCCCCGTCACCCACAGTTATGGAAGAGAAGCTGTATCGCTTGGAGAAACTGTTGGAGATTACTGCAGACCGCGTGATGCGATCGGTGCGTGAGGACGTGGGTGAAGGAGAGGAACCGAACGATTATGACGATGACGAAGAAGAAAAGAACTTTGAGCCGAGACGGAGGCAGCAGCGGCACCGTTGCGTCAGAAGTGGCACCCGGACAATGGGGGACGCTGATCCCCAAACGAATGACGCGGCGCGTCGGCGCCAACAGACATTTCAGGCGCCCGTTGCCGGAAGAGTGACGCAGAACTCAGGTGTGGGCAAGGAGGTTGATGCGCAGGTGGTGCAGTTGCTCCGAGTTGCTTATCGTCTGTTTCTCAGCGATACTTCACCTGGTGACAAAAAGAGTAGAGGGATGCGAAATGACGATGCCGATGAAGCCGACCTGAACGAATTATGCAACGAAGACAAAAAGGTCGGCAATGCCAGTAGAGTGCGACGGAGTTTGTCGAAAAGTGTATTGGAGATCTTATCGCCCCGCCAGAAGCAGGAGGAGGATGGCGAAAGGAAGGCAGTACGTGAAGGAGCGTTTGACGAAGAGGTGTCTGGTCGCCGAACGCCTAGGCGGGACTTCTGTTGGCGGTGCCGTGTGTCTGTGTGCACACGCCAGAACGCGGTGTACGCGACCTTTTTAGATTTGGTGCGCTCGCTTTGCGATCGTATCCGAGCGGACGGAACTCTTGATCGCGGTCCGCTAGCCCCGTGCAGCGAAGCAGAGGAGACGGAGCACAATCGTGACTACAGAGAAACAAAGCGGCGTGGACCTTTACCACTGAACTCTCGCTCCACTGAGTGGCCGGGAGACGATTTGCCACAAAATGGCGGGGAGTCCTTGCTGCTGCAAGCACGTCGACTGACCACCGCGTTGAAGCAGCGCACTGACACACATGAACGTGAACAGGCGATGGTGCAGCAACTGCAGGGTGAGTTGGACAAGGAGCGGGAGTGGCGTAGGCAGCTCCAAGACGAGTTGCTGCGACTTCGCCTTCGGGTCAACAAATACGAATCGAAGCTTAACTTCATTGACGAAACGGTAAAGCCGAAGTTGTCCAGCGACATTGTACAGTTGGAGAAGATGATGTCGGAGCGCAGAAAGCAACACGATTTGGAGCGGCAGCAGCGAGCACTCTTCGTGTCTGAGGTACAGAAGCGACTTGAGCGTGTCGCTGTGGAAGCCGATGTGAACTCTTTTCCTTATTCGTCTTCGTGTCATTTCTCTCCACGAGAGGATGAGAGGTGTCAAGACGGCTCTGTAGAGTAGAAGCTGTGCTTCCCGTTTTCCATACTGTTCCCTTATGGTGCTGAAGGGTCAACTGCCGTACTAGGTGCTCTCTTTTTGTTGTTGTTGTTGTTGTTTTATTCCTACCTCATTTCCTTTCTTGTGATTATAGAAGGGCGAGGGTTGTGATTCTCTGTTGTTTTGGGCGTTGTTTGCTTTTTATGACCCCCGCTGTTGATCTGCGTCGCCTTCCTGTCTTTTTTTTTATCGTTGTTTGCTTTGGTCATCATGACTAGCTGGGCGTGCAGTTGCCTCCAAGTGGTTTCCCTCTTGTTTGAACGGCATTAGAAAGGGAATTAACGGTGTGTGTGTGTGTGTGTGTGTTTGTATTTGTGTTAGTTGGGCCCTGCAGATTAGCTTCGCCACATAGTACGCGCGAATGGGCCTTCTCGAGTGGTTACTCGAGTGGGTGCGCAGCCTCTTCTGGCAGCAGGAGATGGAGGTCACGCTTGTAGGTCTTCAGGGTGCCGGGAAAACGACCTTCCTGGCTGCCATCTGCGACGGGAAGGAGTCGGTGCAGCTACACGACACGATTCCGACGATAGGCCTCAACACCCGCAAGGTCACCCGTGGCAGCGTCAACATCAAAGTTTGGGACATTGGCGGTCAACCGCGTTTTCGCGGCATGTGGGAGCGCTACTGTCGCGGTGTGCAGAGCATCGTGTTCGTAGTGGACGCGTGCGACGTGGCCCTATTTGAGGAGGTTCGGCGAAGCCTTCACGATCTCGTGGAGCGCCCGTGTCTCTCCGGGATTCCGCTGCTTGTGCTTGCCAACAAGAACGATCTCGAAGAGGCCTGTTCAGCCGATGCGGTGGCGGCAGAACTGCAGCTGTCGAAACTCGCACATGACCGCGAAGCGGCGTGCTACAGCGTGAGCGCGAAGAATTACGTTAACATCGATGTGACACTCAAGTGGCTCATGCGTCACTCTAAGCCTGTTTCATCAACGTGATAAGGAGGATAGAAAGAGAGGGAAGGGAGAAGTGAAGAAAGAGGAAAGTGGGAAGGGAAATTGGAGCATGCACATCTCCGTTCCGTGTTTCTTTCCTTTTTTGTTGTTGTTTCGCATCTCACGCGATGCTGTCGGCTGCCGTATTCCCACGCCGGGCGTTCTTCAGACGTCTGTCATGTATACACTGTAAGTGACACACGCTTTTTTATTGCCCCCCTGCTTATTCAGTACTGCTTCGTTACATAAGTTCGTTTGCGCGGAACCACCTTCTAATCCAAGTTTTTTTTTTGAAAATTGGAGCTCAAAAGGGGGTAATCTTTTACTGTTTGAATCGTGAATCTGCTATGTCAACTTCCCATATTTGCATCTCTGCTTGGAGTTTGCTTCATATGCCGCTTTAAAGAGAATTGGGGCGTTAGTATCACTGCTCTGTGGAGTTTTTACACACTACTCCCCGTCCAGAAAAGTAACTGTAATTCTTCTTATTTCTTTTTTTTTTTGGCCTTTTCGCCTCTTATCACGGGCGTGGGTGTCCTCCCTTAGGGTCCGTGCTGCGTGCCGAGTAGAAGAGAGCGTCAACGATGGCGGCGGTGACGGAGCTGCGCCGTTGCGGTCTTGACGACTTCGTGACGGTGCTGCCGGTGCCGCCGCAGACGGAGCTGCGCCGCGGCGTCCTTCGCTTTGCGGGACCCACCGACTTTGCAGGTGGCATGTGGGTGGGCGTCGAGCTCGTTGGCACCCCCGGCCGTAACGACGGCAGCGTGCTGGGTAAGTCATACTTCGCCTGTCTGCCGGGGCAGGGCGTGTTTGTGCGGCCAGAACTTGTCGTGCCGTACACACCTGAGGCGGCGGGGGTGGCGCAGATAGCACCGCAGGAGATACACGAATCACTGGGGCTCGTGGGGACGCTGCGCCACGATATTGCGCAGCTGCAGGAGGAACTGATGCGGAAGGAGGAAGCGCTGCAGCAAACGCGAGAGGTGCTTCGCGGCGCCGAGACGGCCCTCGAGGAGCGGGCTGCCGAGTTACAAAAGGAAAAGGAGGAGAAGCAGCAGACGATTGAGATGCTTTCAGTGAGTCAGCAGCATGAGACAGCGATACGGGAGAAGGATGAAGAAATCCAGCATTTGCAGCATCAGTTTACGGATCTGAAGGATCTCTTCACGATACAGGAGGAGGAACTCCAACGGCAGGGAGAGCATGCCGATGACCTCGCGCAGCTTGTGGAGGGCATGCGCTGCGAGCGTGACGAGGAGAGAAGGAAGCTGCATGAAGCAATTCACAGGCTTGAAGATGAAGTGGCGAAACAGCAGGCTATGCTTGACGCCAAAGATGCTGTGAAGCAAGCAGAGGAGGCTGATGTGGAGGCGTTGCGGCTTCAGCTTTTTCAGCAACAACAGGAGAAAGAAGCTCTGCGGCTCCTCAGGAAGCGGCATGAAGACCTTCACGCAGAACGAGAACGGGAACGTCAGGAGCACGAGACGAAGTGGAAGCGAGCGGCCGCTGATTATGAGGAAGCCCTGGCACAGCAGCGGGAGTACAAGAATCGTCTCCTTGACGACATTCGCAGCCTGCAACAGCAGATAGAGGATATGCGCAGTAGTCACGAGCGCGAACGAGCACTACATGTCCCATTGAGTATGGCCGAGCGGGAGGAGTATGAATCCAAGTTGAGCCAACAACAATGTGAGCTTATGCAATGCTACGGAACGATGTTTGCGAAGCGCTACGATCACTTCCTGGCACCCGTCTCTCAGTGGGATTTGCCGGCCGGCATCCTGGGGGCGATGAGTGAAGCTATTGCGTCAGCAGAGCGAGTGCTTCCCTTTACAACACCAGAGGTCTGTCACCGCTCACGCATGGCGCTCTTCCAGCCGCACAACGCTGGCGGTGCCAATAGTCCTCCGAAGGTGGTGTAAGGATGTGATTTGTTTCAGTTTTTTTTTCCGTTATTGTTGTTGGGGGCGTATTGTCCTTCTCTGTTGTTTGGTGATTTTTTTTCTGTTGTGCTTTGCTGATGCACTTCAACTGGATCTCTGCGTTGCCTTCCGTGTGTGCCCCTCCCCTCCACACCAACCACTGAGAGGTGGATATTTTCTTTCTTAGTGTACACTTCTTTCGTTCTTTCTTGTGCTTGGTGCTGCTCTTACAGTGTTGGGTGTGTGGTGGAAAGTAGCCGGGGTCACAACACGCGTCACAAAAAAGGTCTGGGGAGAAGGGGGGGGGACCAGCGACCAGCAGCAGCAGCAGCAGCAGCAGAAGGCAATAGCGCGGTATATGGCCTCGCGTGTCCCCCGCCGCAAAGTTGCGAAATGCATATCTGCGACTGATGACGTGTACAATCGGGCAATACTGATCTTCCGCGAGGCCCTCCTCGAGCGTGTCGCGCACCACGAGGATGAGGTGTTTGCCGCTCGCGCACGCTTTAAGATGCAGCGCGAACAGGACAGAGAACACTTCGCACGGGTCCAGCGGAGACGCCTGCGTCTGCAGAGCCACGGCAGCGACCGCCGGGCAGGTGCTGCTGCTGCGGGCGTGGCGGAGCAGGAGCTGTTAGTGGCGGAGGAAGAGTTTCTCGCCGACCAGGAGAAGCTCTCTATTGAACATGAGGAAGAATTGCAGCAGGCATACCCACTAGCTTTTTTGGACGATGATAGCGCAGGGGCAGTTGCCTTCACCCTTTTGCCCACACTTCGCAGCAAGCTTGAGTCTCTCGCGCAGGAGCGCACACTGTGCTACAAGAAGTACCCGAAGGCAGATGAGGGAACGTCAAATGCGTCGGGCGGCGCATTGCGAAAGCCACAGCTCGTTGCTGTGAAGGAGGAGCAGGGGCGTGATGTGTATGCTGTGTGTGAAGTTGGCCGGGGTGCGTACATAGTTCCACCTATGACGCGTGGACCGAACACGACGGCCGATGATGATGACCGTGGCGATGGGAACAATGTTGTGGTGGAGGAAGAAGAAGAGGAACAACAACGACAACAGCAGCAACAAGAAGAGGGATGTGAATATAGTCGGGCGGCACCACCGTGGATGACGCGAGTTTCTACCCACGGCGCTGCGGAGTTTGTGCGCATGGCGCTGCTGTGCGACGAGGCGGCTCGTCGCTCGAGGCTTGACGAGAGGCGGCGCTTTCTTGAGTGCTGCGTGGACCCGTCGAGGCCACGAGCTGAGCAGCGCAGTCTACGTCGGCTGCTGCGCCGACTCGGTTCGGATGAGAAGCACGAGAAGAAGAGAGCAGAGTGGCTCTGGCATGCGTGGCGGGACGTCAAGAGTTCTCTGGATGGCAACAGCGGCTGGGACGGAGGCAGCGGCATGACCAGGAGTAGCAACAGTCCAATAGATGCACCGGGAAATGACGGGAGTGAAGGTGCAACAGCGCCGTTATCAAACGGGAACGAGGAAGTTGATTATGGTGACGATGAAGGAGATGATGGTGTGAATGTGCGAAGCTCGCTGTTAGATGAGAGGTTCTCTCCCTCGCGTGCCCTTCGAGAGCAACGGCGAAGACGCATGGAGTGCATTGACAGCACCGGTTATTGTAGCACGCCTAACTGTACGCGTGGTACGCTTCCTGCGGCTGCGCACACTTCTCCACATGGGCGGAATGTCTCTTGGTGCTCCTTCGACACTACGCGCTGGGTAACAATTCCGCTTGGTGATGGGGACAGCAGCAACGGCAACAGTAGTCGTTTGGAGGCGCTGGCGCAAACATACATGTGGCCACGACATATCGAGGAGAGCATCCCACATGTGCTCTGTGGGGAAGCGGTGCGGAGTGGCAGGCGGTGGCTGTTGTTCCAGCACGACACGCTGATAACTGGCGCACAGCAGCAAGAAGGGGAAGCAGAGGGAGAAGGTGGCGGTCACACGTCCACTGACGAAGCTCTACGTGAGGAACGAACGGTAGACTCGAACTCCCTGCCTGTTGTTGCGCTCCCGCGGCAGGCGCGGAAGGTGTGGCTGAAGGTGAACACGCTGGGCGACTTTGTCGCCGGCGACGTGCGGTTCTACCAAGGCCACTCGTCGGTGTCTGCATCGCCGAATGCACAGAACGTTTCTGTAAAATCATAACAACAAAAAGAAACAAGAAAAAAAAGATCTCCATGTCAACAACTACTGCTTTCACGTCTCTTCGCGTGACTATGTTTTCTGAATATGACTCGAATCACTCTGACTTCTTTGTCGTTGTTTTTTTTTTTTGTTTTGTTTTGTTTTGTTTTCTTTTTGTTCTTTCTCACGGTACATATTGCAACAGGGGGGGGGAGAACTGAAGGTGTGAAGGGACTCCTGCAAAAGCAATACAGAGAACGGCAGTAGTTATTGATGGCAGGTACTGTCGCTGTAGTGAAGGAGTCCGCGATGTCGCGGGAGCTGCAGCAGGACTGTATAGATTGCGCCGCACATGCACTGCGTGAGATGGGGCTGAAAGAGCAGACCGCAATTGCCCAGTTCATCACCCGTGAACTCAACAGCAAGTATGGCTCCCGGTTCCATTGTGTTGTGGGCCGCTCCTTTGGTTCGTACGTTGGTCATGATGACCAGTACTTTGTCTACTTTCTTATTGGCGACTGTGCCTTCTTAATATGGCGCACCGTTGATACTTATGAGGAGCGTGTGTTTTACGTTTCCGTGGACGATATAGCTGTTGGTCGGTCGAATGTTGAAAGAGCTGAAATGTAAAACAACAGCACTCTCCATCACCATCCTCCTCCTCCTCCTCCTCTGTTCTACAACACCACAACAATGGGGGAGGAGGAGGAGGAGGATGGCGATGGCGATGATGCGGAGAGCATCAGTGTTTAGTTACCACAACAAGGTAAGCAAAAGAAACGAGAAGGGATGAACGTTCTTGGTGCATAAAGGCGTTCCTTTGCTGGTCTTTTTTTTTTTTGGTTTCTTCAAAGTAATTCTGTATCTCTTATGAGCTCTTTTTTCTGGTCTTTTCTTCTTTTGGGTTCGCCCCTCCATCTTTCAAAGATCCACGCGGCTTTGTTTTCATCTCGGTTCCATTGGTTGGGCAGCAGCAACATGACGCCAATGGGTAAGCGCCTGGCAGTGCGCACAACTGTGTGTGTATTGGCTGTGCTTGTAATATTTTTCGTCTGCACTGCAGATGCCTCTTCCAACGAGAAGACATCACCGGCGGAGCGCCTCAACAATTACCGGAAGCGCGTCTCCCGTGAGTTCATCAAGACCAAGGCGCAGCTGGAGGGTGCCATCACGCTTCCGTCCGGCCTCGTCATTGAGCAGCTGGTGCACGGCACCGGCACGCACGCTGCCGCCTTGGACGACGAGTGCAAGCTGCACTACGTCGGCAGTCTCCGTGATGGCACTGTATTTGACAGCTCGCGCGCGCGCGGCGCGCCGGCCACGTTCCGGCCGAACCAGGTCATCAGCGGTTGGACGGAGGCGCTGCAGCTGATGCGCGAGGGCGACCACTGGCGCATTTACGTGCCGTACGAACTTGGCTACGGCGAGCGTGGAGCTGGCAGGAATATTCCGCCCTACGCTGCCCTGGCGTTTGACATTGAACTGCTGAGCATCGAGGGTGGCGGCAAGGGCCGCACGGCGGCGGAAGTTGGGGAGGTGCTGAAGAAGGCTGTAGACGACAAGGAAGACATGTAAGGGGGTGGTGGGCGCAGCAGTAGGACGAGGATCAAGTTGGGCTTTGAGGAGGGTTGGAAAGGGGCGCCGCACATGCCCAGAAGGAAAGGGGTTTAATCCGTGTCTCTTTTTCTTACTCCTCCTTCCCCTCTCCTTATTGTTTCTTTTTTATCCCTCCACACTCATCAGATGCCGCCAACGGAAAAAAGATGGAGGAAGGTCTAAGAATATGCGCTTTTCAGTACTGCTCTTGAAGAGCAATCGAAATTTGTTGCTGTTAGTATTATTATTGGTGTACCTCCTCCTTTTGCGTTGTGTGAGAGAGAGCGCACAAGTGTTTTTTTTTTGTTTTTCTTCCGTTGGCTATTTGGCTTTTAGGGGGTAGGTGGGCCATGAGTGAAAAACGCAAAGCGGGGAGTGGCAATGCCGATGCTGTGCAAAGAAAGGAACCCGAGTTGTCTGGTGAAAGTTATGTGAACACACAAGATGCGGTGCAGCCGGACGTCGACAATGCAGCCGAGGCAGGCAAGAGGCAGTGCCCGCCACAAGTGCCTCCACCCTCAACCGCCACCGTAGAGAAATGGGCCTGGGGCTTGGCCGTAGTTGCGCTGCTGCTCGTCATTGGCAAGTGGCGCTATGATGAGTACATGGCTGCACACGACCCGAACATACTGCAGGAGGACTACATGGAGTACCTGCGCCAGCGGTGGTCGCGCCAGGGAGAGGCACTACTCGCCAACGTCTCTCAGGACCCGAGCTTCACGCGCTACGGCGACAGGCGCATTTACTTCCGCGCCATCACGCGGACAGTTCCTGTGCCCGACAGCACGCCGCCAGCATACAAGACGAAGATCGCGATGTCAGAGGTGGACGACGACAACCGCTGGCGCGAAGACGATGACAACAATAACAATGACGGTGACGAGCTACAGTGTGTCGGCGACGATGGCGTCGTGCACATGCACTCCGTCGGCCTGCGCTCTGACGGCATGCGCTTCACGTCCTCTTACGTGAAAGGCGTGAAGGCGGAGGAGCGGCGTCTGGATCGACACGTCTCGTGCCTGCGCAGCGTCCTACCGCTCATGTGCCGCGGCGACAAGTGGGAGGTCGTGTGCGCTCCGGAGGAGGCGTTCGGCAACGCTGGCGAGCGAGAAGTGCCGCCCGGCGCAACGGTCGTGTGGCGCGTCAGCGTCGAGCGCGTCGACGGCAGCGGCCC